TATAAAGTATTCTTCGTTTTATGCATATAAAGTATAACATGCTCATGAATAAGAAGTCTAGTAACCACTAAGTTATAGGTTGCCATGACATTAATCTTCTTTTGCAAGATGTGTTGATATTAAAAAATCCACATAAGTATTTATCAATACTCTTGTCAGGGGGAGCCATAACGTGGAATGGCTTCAACCTATCTTTAAAGCATAGCTTCTAATATGAAAGTAAAGCTATAGCATGTTTAATTAATATAAGTTAAATTTATCTTAGTTTATTAAGAATAAATTTATTACTATTATACGTTATTTTTAGCATAAGATATTCATCCCTGAATATGTTATATATAAGAAGTGCGGTTTTCTTTTGGTTCAAGTAACATGTCAAATGGTTTTGCCAAACCAAAGACAGTGTGAAAGACCAACCTAGAATCAAAGTTAATCATGTAAGTTTAAGATGTTGGTGCTCATTAAGTAAGTTTAAAGCTTTAAGTGTTTAAGTTTTAAGTGTTGAGCACCATATTCAATTTAAGTTTTCTCACCATAGGTCTACCTTAAGTTGCTGGCATTAAGTTCATTGGTAGCCTACCATATGGGATAAGATTGTGATCTCAAATTGTGATTCTAGAAGTACAAATAACTCTTTGAATGTGCATAAAAGAATAAGCGAAAACAAGCTGCATAATAGGACCGTAAAGAGGCCATCATAAGACTAAGAATGAACTATTCTGAGATATGAATGATGCGCTATAGTGATTGGGTTCATCAGTGCTTAATTGACTGTTGCAATCGTTTCATCTTGGTGTATTGTTTTATTGAAGAATGATTTTAAGAGACATAATGTTATCTCCCCATAAGTTCTCTCTGATAAGCATAAGTAATTGTTTTATTTAATATAGAGTGGTCTACTATAGATGCTTGATCTAATGGTGCATAACCGGTTGTTATTGAGAATGGTACTAATAATAAAAAAAAGGTACTAAGCCATTCGATCATGGGGGAGAATGTTGGAATAATCTCAGGCTCGGTCAACAGATCGAGTCTTAAGGGGCTTAACAGCCACACAATGGCCCTGATTGGGGGCACCTCTAACGGAAGAAAACGGCCTGGTCCCAAGACTGACCCGCACTATAAGATGAAAGAGGTCACGTTAAGATGTGACTGACCACCTAATCCACCTACCAATCAAGGTCAGTGCGGGCTCGACTAGAAGACCAGTGACCTACCGCCGGCTATCCCTGTGCCGACGTCCTCACCACCAACGACCACTACAGGAGGAGTACCACAACACGCCTGCATCAAGCAGGCGAGGGTCTTCGCAAGGATCCAGAAGGTCTCTCTAATCAGGTAAGTCTAATTATGTATTAATTAAGGCTTAGGTGTTCTTGTAATTAGGCTAATTCAGATCCTGCATAAGTGATAAGATCTAACACAATGGTCAACATGGTCATGGAGGATTTCTTTTTTTTTAGGGAAGTAATGGAGGATTTCTCCTAATTCCTGCACTTTTTTTTTGAAATTCGTTCAATCCTGAACCACCGAAATGGGTCTAATTAGGCCTGGGCATTGGGTAACCTGAATTTTTTGGGTCGGGCAGTTGGAAATTCGGGTAATAGAAATTGATACCCGATATTAGTCCCGAAAAAACACTACCCGATATTTCGGGTAACCGATAATTCGGGTTCGGGTATACCTAATCTACCCGGTTTCTCTGAGCTGGACAACTGGGTGCCGTCGGTGTGGTGGTGCGCCGGTTCTGATGTCGACCGCCGGGCAGTGGTGTGCCAGTGTGGGAGCCAGATGGCAGCGTCGGGAACTCGGCCACTCAGGGTTGAGCACAGGCGTCGGCCGTCGGGGACTCGGGGTCACGCACAACCACAAAGGCATCGGCCGTCGGGCAAGGGTGGGGGCGCCGCCGCGCGGGGTGGTGGGCAGCCGCGCGAGGCAGCGAGCGGTCGCGCGTCGGCCTCGCCTCTCGCGTCAGCGGTCGCGACCTCGCAGGGCAGTGCGGCTACAGGCTAGGGTTCAGCGTTGGGGGGGGTGCTCCACTCGGGGGTAGTCGAGCCGTCGAGGGATGGGATGTGGAGCATGGAGTTGTGGACAACGGTCAGCGGAGGCTGGTTGGCTGGTTTCCGGGCCGCGTAGTGGGCTTGATGAGATCAGACATCAGTTGATGGGATGTGAAGATATCAGGTAATAAGGGTAACTCGGGTACCGCGTGGTGTTACCCGAATTGCCCGAATTAATTTCGGGTATCTGGAGCCACTATCCAAAACTGTAATCGGGTAGATCGGGTACGAGTTCGGGTAATTTGGGTTTGGGTATTGGATAGCAGGTAATTTGCCCAGGCCTAGGTCTGATATTTGAAAATGGGAAGGCCTTGGAAGCCCATTTGGTGAAAGCCCAGCAGACTGACCAGCCCGGCCCCTTGCCGCACCGCCTCGGCCTCGGGGCTCCAGACCTCCAGTCTCCGCTTCACGCAAACCGTCCTCCACGCAAACCCTCCCTCCCTCCGTCCCTCCCGCGGTTTCTATTTCACTCCCCCAATCCGGCCGCGGCGACGCTAGGGCTAGGAAATTCCGGCGCCGATCGAGGTTTCGGGAGCGCCGCGGTCTAGGCCTCCAGGGTTAGTGGTCGGCGCCGTCGCGATCCAGTGGCGGTGGACGGAGGCAGCCGTGGTAGGGCCACCGCAGCCGCGCGCAGCCATCATGAACAACAACGAGAGCCCGAATGCCAGCGCCGCAGGTGAGCTTGACTCGGCGCCTTGCCGCTGCGGGGCATGTGGTTCGGTTTCTGTACTGCCGCGAGTAGATGATCGCCGGTACCTAGCGTCGTGAACTGCTGCGATGCTCGTAGGTCTAGTGCGATTCTGTTGGGAGTGCTATTGGTAATTTGGTAGGCTCGTGTTTACCGTGCCTGTGTTTAGTTACGGCTGTTGGATTGAACGGATTCAATGTTGGACTTCACTATTAAGTTTCGAACTCACAGAAGCTGGCTGCTGTCTGGGAATGCACCATATCGTTGTCAGCTTGTCCTGACTCATTTGTGTACAAATTTCCAACTTTTGTCCTATTGATTGAATTTAGGACGTTGTGCTGAAACTTGTAAGTTGAATTCTATGTGACCCACAATCTGTTTGGATTTGGGAAATTTGGACCAGCATGTTTTGAATGTAAAGTATTAACGTGTCTTCCTTATCATTACTAATTTGTGTATTCTATGCTTAGCCTAAGTCTGACTCTGCTTTCGAGCTATGCATTGCACCTTATATTGTTCAGTGCCAGCTTATTCATTCAGAATTATCATGATTGATTTTGTTCAGTATCCTAAGCAGTTTGTTTGTATTTAATTGCTGAAATTTGTACTTGACTCTGGATATCCTGTACTTAAACTCTCAAAGGACGATACAGGGCTGATTCCACCTTATTGAATCAAATAGATAAAGTAATTATGGAATATAGAATCTGTCCTCATTTTGCTTATATTGTTTTTTAAAGAAATACAGTAGGGGAAACCCCTACTGTGCTAGATATATATTATATATAAAAGAAAAGGAATAAGATAACTGTACCGAGAAAAAGGAGAAAACAAAAGTGGAGAAAGACTAAACAGGTAGAAATCATTTACACAAGAAAGAGAGATCATCTATGGCTTTCTTTTGTACTGTGTGATTTGGAGAAGGATTTCCACATTGAAGCTCTTTTTCCTGACATTGAAATTGGGTTTCCATCCTTGAAAGACCAGTCCATTTCTCCATTTCTTTGCTTCCCAATATCCAAATATGCCAGGCTGCGATTCTGTCATTTTCCATAAAGAAGGATTGTTGAAAATCAATTTTCTCTTTGACCAGCACATTGAAGAAATTTAGTTTTGTGTCCCAAATTATTCCAAGGTAATTCCAGCATCTAATACTGAAGCTACAACCAAAGAACAAATGGAGGATGAATTCTTGAATTCTGTATATATTGTATCTGCTTTTAAGAAGATCTCTTGTATTGGGTTTTAAGCACTTTGACTTCAGATCCATAGTATAGGTCAGGCAATGAGATGTAGATGTTTTTGGCAAAGGAAAAGGGCATGGGAAACTATCATTGCATTAGTGGAAAACAAAATAGTACCACCCAGATAACATGATGCAATTCCTCATAACAGATTGTAGAATGACATAATGTGTCTCCACCAAAAAGAGCCTTTTCCCAGTGGCATGTGGTGCCATTTCACCTCTTAATGGCATTATCCTAGAATTTGAAGATAGCATACTGTTTTCAACAGGCTGTATGTAGCACAGGAAACTGAAATTTTACTAAGAGTAGACATTAATCTTTTACACAGTAGCCACTTGTCCTTAGCAGCCAATGGGACCAGATGCAACATCCTTTTTTTGTTAGCTTTCTTTACTTGTATGTTCTTTCCCTTCAATGTCTGGTTCAGTAAATTGAAAACATAAAACACAACTCTTTTAACTCTTAGACCATACATTTTCTGTTCAGAGAAAAAAACAAAACCAAACTAGTGCAAGTATTCTACTCCCTATGTAAAAGTTTTCCCTATTATTAGTCTCCATGTAGAATTGGTTAGCTTGTAAGTTTTTTTTTCCTTGAGCACACAAGATAAATGTGTATCATTTCATTAAGGAAGAAGGGAATGCACTGGGGAAAAGAACTGCCTAAAACACACACCTACACACCCCCTAACAAGAAGTTTAGATTTAGTTCCCTTTGTTTGGATGTTTAAAAATGCATGCATTTGTTCTTGTCGTCTTTGTATAATTTTACTCTGGAGTGGAGATACTCAGCTGGTCTTCTACTCTTCTGGTTCAAGTAGTGTAAAAGATTATAGGCTCTCATTTCGTTAGAGACTTGTATACCTACTATACTGTTGGATAATCAGGGAAACAAACTCCACAGAAATGTAGTATTCCACTTGGCCATCTGAGTCCATTATGCTTGCCAAAGTTGGCCAAATCCTTGGCCACCAATTTGGCAACCAAAAATTTGCTTAGCTAATACATGGAACATTTGGGTGCAAACCAAACAGGCCCTAAAAAACTTTTGCAGAATACAGGTAACTGACAGCTTGACACTGACTTGCTAGCCAATTTTGAAATTTCCAGCTTATGCTCAAACCAATACATATCATGTTGCCAATATCTACCAAGAAACAATTCAGGTTACTGCCTCATGGTATCATCAACCACTGGATTTCTATGGTCAAGAGAAGCATTTGTGGCTGTCATGGCCCTCATCTTTTCATTTCTGATGCTTTATGCAACATTTAGGTGATTCAATCATCAAACCACTTGTCAAGAATTATTGTGATTTTCAAACTGCAATTGAATAAATTGTTGAATCATATTGTATTATCGTTGTTTAGAGCCATTTCACAGAATATTGGAGATCACACCATAGTGCCACTATAGTGAACCTTTGGTAATGTACCTCTTGTGTTCTACAAAACAGTTGAACTTAATGCCTATTGACCAAGTTAAAGAATATATCCATCTTTGTTCATCAGTTTGGTGAAATTAATGCTGCTGATTGGAATCAGTATAGCAATCTATACGATAGCAGTATTTGATTTATATTGTACTTGGGGCTCTTTTTTTAGTAGCTCTTGGTGTATTAATTGTTCAATGTTGGATGAAAAGTGGGTGTGTTTATAACCCTATTTGTGCTGCATTTCTTTTCCTGCTAAATGTATGTATTGCTTAATCTCTTTTGCTGCCATTTTCTTTATTTCCTGATTTCTAGTTCTTTGTAGTGTTAATTGGTAATGGCTGGTGTTTATTGGGTCCAGTTATTGTAGTATTCTTTATTTTCTTTGTGATTAGTAAGTTTTGTTGCTTTACCTTCCAGTTTCTTAAAAAACACAGGAGCTAGCGGAGCCTACTATAAAGGATGCTTTTGGAAAATGTGTGCAACAAGGAGCATCCCGAGTTGTTGTTAGTCCATATTTCCTTTCCCCTGGACGACACTGGAAGCAAGTATGTTTTTTTTTTCCTTTTTTTTTTGTATTTATGTAAGGTTGACAATGCTTACTGATAAGGGTGTTAATTGTTAAAGGTGCTGTATTCCATTGCTTATAGTTTATTTAGGATGAAGATGTGTATCTACCCTTTACATACAGCTGCATATAATAGTTATGTTCAGACAAGGATTTTCATATGCACTGACACTATGCTTGATTTTTCTCAGGACATTCCTGCTTTAGCAGCAGAGGCATCAAAGGAGCACTCAAATATACCCTATATTGTCACTGCCCCTCTTGGGCTGCATGAGCTTATGGTGGTATGTGCTTGTGAGTTCCCTGTAGGTTATTTCTATCATTTTCAGCAGTTGTTAGTAGAGAAGCAAAATAGATATGACGTGAATCTGATTTGCAGTTATTAACACTTAACAGTTATGGAATTTTGTGATAAAGAATTTTGTTAACAAATAGATCGCTAGAATTGCTGTCCTCTTCTGGAAAAAGAATGTTGAAATTTTCTACAAAACAAAATTATAATATTTGTGTAAATAGTGGCCTTGTTGACCTTCATGTATGTCTACCTTGATGAACTATAGTTGCATAGTGATTAATTTTCATGGTCCAGGGGCATTTAAGCACTTATACTGTAAAGGCTTATGTAGCTACTAGTGTCAGAAATGAACTACAGTTGTATATAAATGTATGTATGTATGTATAAAAAGCAATTTTTGCATTACAACCAGCTGGCATTCTTCATGTGCATAATCGTCAGTCTATACGAGCTATGATCTGGAATTCCAGTATGATCTGTAGCGCGTGAACAGTGACGAATTAGATTAGATTGGTTTGAGTTGTTAGGAAAGAGATAAGTTAGATTGATTCGGTTAGGATATTTCCTTAGGAGTCAAGTCAGTCATCTCTATAAAAGAGAGAACCCGGTATTGATTATAATCAAGCAAGAAGAAGAACCTAAGTAGTAGTCTGGACGAAAGGGTTCTTCTTGCTACCCTAGCCAATCCATATCAGGTATCAATTTCTTAATAATACAGGAGGCAATTGTCTAACTGTGAGAAATTAAGGACAGGGCTCGTTGATGAGTTGATCTGTTTGCTCCGTAACATGTTATTGCACTCTCCATGCTGAATATGCTTTGCAGGATATCATGAACGATCGCATCAAGTACTGCCTGCGACATGTTGCTGGTGATGTCGATGAGTGTACAGTGTGTGCTGGAACTGGAAAGTGCCGCCTGTACTCCTGATGGAGAATACCTGGGAGGCACGTCGATACTGCAGCTTGGAATCTGACCACATGTGGCATTGTGGCAAAGGATTTCAGAGCCAGTTGTTTCTCTGCATTACCATTTATCTGATCTGGTTCAATATTTTTTCTCTTGTATACGAGATCTGACGAGTGTAGATCCAGGTTCGCTGTGTACCGTGAAACCAAAAGTTACCATTGTATACTTCCATCTTGTAATCTTGGACTGTCCATATTCTGAGCAGGTCGTCAGAATTATTAAGTGGTACCAAATTAGCTATGCATGGTGCATGGTTGCAGAACATCAATAACGATTAGAGATTCATTAACTAATCTTAAGTATTCTGTTATTTGCATTATGAACAAACTCCAGTCAACAGTCAAGTATTCTGTTCTGCATTAACATGAAATCTATATATTCCTGCCACCTCGTAGATTAATTAGTTCTATTACCTTAACATGAGTCAAATGATAATATGATGTGCCCTTGTTTGATTTGCCAGTTTTTGTTGTCATATCATTATCCATGGGAGATATGAAAATGTATCGCTTGATTTCAACCCCACTAGATTTACCCTGCAGCATGAAGGATGCCAGTTTATCGTTTTCATTTTTCATCCTTACTAAAAGATCGTGCTATACTTTTCGCTGAAGCAGTTCTCCGCTCCGCCTCCTGTTGTGCCGAGCTGGCCAGCGGCTTAAAAGGGAACATGGATGATTGGCAGATACCAGGAAACACCAACCAAGACCCACGAGACAAATGAATGATTAATAGAGAACAAAGCCAATAAAACGGAAATGAATGACAGAACAAAAAGCAGCAAGCCCGCAACAAACATAAGGAGAAAAATTGTTCCTAGGAATTTTTTAACAACAATGCAAATTTTTGAAAAAAATCTATATAATAAACCTTATGAAATATTCCAGCTTGAAGATATATTTTTTATAGCTCATCGATAAGTGTTCTGCTTTCTTGAGAAAAAAAAATTCTAGCTCCTAACAAAACAATATTCTAGCTACATGATAGATTCACAAGAATTTATCCTCACTTTATGATAAAAGTGACCCAACTTAAAATAAGTAATTTTCTAGTTTCAACAGAAAAATGTTCCATATTCATGACAAAATTTTTTAGCTTCAAGTGAAAAATTGTTCCAACTTTAAATAAAAAGTGTTCTAGCTTCACGAGCAAAATATTCTAAGTTACGATGAAAGCTTCAGAAAAAAAATATTCCATCTCAAAATGGAAATCAAAATAACGATTTGCAAAATAATGAAGTGAATTAATGATGTACTAAGGTAATCACTCAATATTGATAAACAAAGAGAAAATTAGAGCATGATGCGAGGACGTATGAAATAGAAGCAATGAAGAGGGAAAGAGAAATAATTAAATGAAAAAAAATAAGTATAGAGAAAGAAAGCAGTCTTAAGAGCTTCACGAAATGTCAAAAAGAAACAAAGAGATGAAAAATATAAAAGTACCATTGTTGTTTCACTTATTTAAACCAATGTTTCGCTAGCCATTGGCATTATCCCATGAAAAACATAATGAAATAAGAAAGAATAAAAACAAAATAAGCATTAAACTAGTTGAGTGCCTATGCATTTCTAGATGCAAAACGTATGTAGAATCGCTTTATGACACCACCATCAAATTGGACCAAGATTCTAAATTCCTGGAGACAAACATACAAATGCCATACATTCTTATTCTAATTTACTCTCACGTCGAATTCCCTTTGAATAAATATGCCACCCTTGTTAACATAAAGAATACATATATCTATTCTATACATAATTTATAGTTGAGTCAACTCCATTTTATGACCCTAAACTTGTCCTTGACTTTGAAAAGCACACACGAAATCCAATACTAAACTCGCAAAAAAAAAATTCCAATACTAAACAACACACATCGGACAAAATACCCCTAGACCATTTCAAAGTGGTTTGTAAGGTGGTTTTGTGGACACGAAAATGAGGGGCTAAATGCCAAGTGATCTTTCGTATATAAAAAATTCATAACTTTCGCATATAAAGTTCGATGATAACAAACTCTATATAAAATTGTGTAGGTCTTTACACAATCTGCAACTTTGTAGTTGATAACATTTTTATTCAAGATAGTTATTTTGCTTTAAGTTACTAGATATTGGAACTCAAATTGTAATCTTTTTTTTTTGAAACTCAAATTGTAATCTTTTAAAGTGACTTCAGATGCTGACATGGTCTATGCCAAAGTTGCTCTTAACGTGATCTATATTTTTGTAGCCGACAACTTTTTTATTTGAGATCATTTGGGGGCCAAAATATTTGTGTTAAGTTATGTAGTTTTGAATTTTTCAAACCACCTTAGAAGTTGACATGGTTCGTACCATGCTTATAGATCTTAATTCAAATACAAACATGTATTTGACAACTTTTTTGTGGGGATCATTTAGAGGCCCAAATGTTTGTTTTAGGTTATCAGATTTTGAAATTTATTTTTTCTATTTTTTTAAACAATCTTGAATGGAGAAGTGATCTACACCAAAATTTATAGTGCTCAATGAGATATAGGCATTTCTATTTGAAATTTTATTTATTTGAGATCAGTTAGGATCCTAAATATTTAATAAAAAATACAGGGCTAAAAAGACCAATGGCATGTGGGACCCACATGCTACTCATGTACCATACTCCTTCTGTTTAAAATTATAAGATATTTTTTTTTCTAGATACATTGTTTTTACTATGTATCTTGACATAATGTGTGTATATATATATATATATAGGCATAACAAAATTATGTATCTAGAAAATCAAAAACGTAAAATTATGTATCTAGAAAATCGAAAACGTCTTAGAACAGAGGGAGTACGTTGCTGGCTCATGTGGACCAGCATAGAGAGCTCCCGCGTGCTAAACTAATGAACCATGAGTGACGGCAGATAATGTTGCTGATGTGTCTTCTATATGCTGCCAAAAGATAGCCAAAATAGTCATATAAATAAAAAAACGTGAAATATGAGGGAAAAAAAATCAGTAGTTACATCACAACTCACAAGGTGGCACTAATTAATTTTCTGCGGCCACGGTAGCTGGTACGGGAACACCCGATTGGCATTCAAGGTCGTCGTCGTCGTCGTCTTGTTCGCCTGCAGCAGCTTCATGGTCTCGACGTCGAGGGAGAATGACAAGGTGGAGGGCGGCGAGAAGGCGCCGAGTACCAGGGTTGACGCCGCCGTCGTGGTTGTGTCCAAGAAACGCCATGGCCGGTTTATTACCCAGCTGGACTCGATGTTGGCCACGTGGCATAGATCAACACTCCTCTCGACCGTGCACTCCCAGCCGCCATGGGCCTTCGTGCCTTGAGCACCTCGAGGCCGTCCTTCACCAAGCAGACGATGCGCACTAGGGTTCCTGCACCCCCGCTGACGACTCGGAGGTTCTCCCTGTCATCCACTAAACCGTCCGGCGCCAACGGAAGCCTAATTGTCGAGAAGTCGCCGCTGGCCTCGTCGAGGACGAGTAGTACATGGACATGGTCGTCGTCGAAGCCAGAGAAGAAGATGGATCCCCCGGCACGCCCCACGAATCGCTGGTCCATGTCCACGTTTGCCACATCATCCGTGCAGAAGTGGCTACTGACAGCACCGGATCCAGCCGTTGTCCCTAGCCGAGAAGACACATGCCTCGGCTGTCGTTGTGTCATCCATCTTATCCGTGATCAGACACACACATAGCACGCTGAAGCTCTACATGAGCTAGCTCTTGGCGTCGCCGTCTCCGTCGCCGGCGTCGAGAATGAAGGCACCGAGGCAGTCGTACAAGCACATCCTATCTCCAGGCCGTTTCCATGGGAACTCTAGCAACGTGGACTGCCTGGTCCAGGGATCACACACGACGGCGTACCAATGGTCGTGAAGGACAAAGGCGAGGAGGCCACCACGGCTGTCTGTGAGCTCTGGCCACGTGTTCATGTACTCACCGTCGATGAGGAAGTCGAGGGAGAGGCGCTGGCGGAGGTGGACGGCTGGCCGCGCTGGGAAGGGGACGAACCCAGTGACGGTATGACTCAAGCCTCTCTCCCAGCTGGTGTTCACGGTGTAGTTTTTTTTATGGAACTGGAGTACAGGAGCTTTATTAGAAAAAAAAAAACAAGTTCAAATACAAAGCCGCTGCAGGAGCAGAGGTTCAAGAGACAAAGAAGGAGAGAACGAAAATGAAAAACACAAGCAAGATTACAATAAATTCTGGTTCCATAAGTCAAATAAATTGGCGTCCCTGCTTCTTGCTCTAACTGACAGCAAGTTGAGCCCCCTTGAGAAAAATGTTTCTGACACCAGTTACTGAAGATGGGATGTTCTTGAAGATTGAATCATTCCTAGCAGTCCAAATTCCCCAGCAAAGGAGAATGATCAAAGTCATGAAAAACTGGCTGTTAATTTGAGGCCTGATGCCTAATAAAACCTCTGGGAAGTTTGAGTTCTGGCTTATTACAATATTATAAACAAGCTCCAACATTCTTTGGCAAAGGGACATTCCAAGAAGAGATGAGTCACTGTCTCTTCCACATTAAGCTGGCATAAGACACAGTTGTATGACTCTAAGTGCATATTCTTCCTTCTCAAGATGTTTCTGGTGCTCAACCTGTCTTTAAGAAGGAGCCAAGAGAAAACTTTATGTTTGGGCTGACAAAAGCATTTCCATAACCAGCTGAATCCCTCATGAACTTGCCTATGTCCCATCAAGAAAGTGTAAGCTTTTGAAGCTGAGAAATTCTGTCCCCAACTGTAACTCCAAATGTCCTCTGAATCAGACAAATTGATGTGTTGAATCATTGACTGAACAAGTGCAAGCTGCTGAAAGGCCTCAGCAGAAAGAGGAAGATTGAAAGCTTGAGCTAAATCTTCAAATTCTAAAAATTTACAGACCGAAGTGTTTGCTGTTTTGGCAAAAGAGAAGAGCTATGGAAACTCATCTTTAAGAGGCTGTTGCTTCCAACAATCTGTCCAA